CTCTTCTTTTCTGTTTTTTTAGTCTTTTTATCTCTATATTCTGATTCAAATTAAATCGAAATTCAGAAATAGAGAAGTCTTATAGCCCTAAATCCTGTTTTTTTGAGAGTTTTCTTTCTTTTTTTGTACAAAATATATAATATCTCTTTTTAGATGTCTTTAAATGAATATGATACTTATATAAAGACTCTGATGCTTCTGGTGTATTTATTTGCTGATAAATAGAGTTTTGAACTCTATTAATAGCATTTAAAGAGGTTTTTAAAGAGGGTTTTTATCTAGCTTAATAAGATTGAAATTAATATTTTGGATAGGGTTTTTTAGTGATTTTTTAAGCGAAATCCTCTGAATTGTTACAGCATGTGAACACACTAGGCACCGACAGGCCTTGGAGGCTGCACGGACCCTGTGTGAGGAGACCCTGGAACTAACCAAGCCCAAGGGGCTTGGCGAAAGGACACGCTTATGCAGAGACAACCTTAAGCAAGGTGTTATAAAAGCGGCTGAGAGCTAGTTTGCTTAATCTACTCCCCTTATAAAATGATTATAATAATTAATAAATAAGGGGATAAGAAGAATTTTAGTCAATTAGTCTCTAAAGGGTTTTTGAGTAATTCTTGAATTTGAGGCTAATTTTCAGGGTTTCTTTTACTCATGTTTTATTAATTCAAGTAAAGAAAACCCGCTAGTTATTCCTATCCAAAAATTAATTTACTAGCTTAAAAACTGGGCGAGATATTAAATAAAAAAAATAAAAAAAAGGAAAACTTATTTATAACTGCATTTGAATCCTGCCACAACTAATAAGCTATCCTATGAATAATAGTAGCTTCTAGATGGCCCTATTCTAATGCTCTATTTATAATTTTGAGCATTAAAAGGCGAGGGAGGTAGCTAGCAGCTAATTTTCGAACGGTTCTAGTAACAGTAATTCCACGCTCTTTTAGTGCTTAAACAGATTTCTATAAAGTAAATAAATTATTTAAGAATAGATAAAAATTCAGCTTTTTTTACTTAATAAATAGAGCTAAATATGAAACTAAACGAATAATAACTAATTGTGTAGGATTTAAAAGAGTAGTTTTTATAAAATTTAGAATAGAAATAGAAATACATTTTTTAGTAACTAAAAACCCCTTGTTTAACCTTAGCTTTTACTTTATTAAATAGATAGCTCTTATATTCCTCTTTTGACATTAGCGAACATAATAAACACACACATATAGATAATCAACTTTATACGCAAATTCATTTAAGCATAAGAAGAAATCTATAAAGGCCTAGAAGAGGCAGTCTTATAGCACAACGTACGACTACTTCTTAATCCTATTCTCTACCTTTGCTCTTATAGGCAATAAAGCTAGGACGCGCCTACCTCTCAAGGGAATGCGCCTAAATTATAAGAAGCACATATTATAAATAACCTGTTAGAGAAACAAGATTAAGCCTAGGACCTAATAGCACTGTTAGAACAGATAAAGTAAGCCCTAACAAGATTAGCCCTAGCCTCCTAACTAACAGGAAAACCTTGATTATATGTAGACATTATATAGTAATAGTCTGCAAAGCCCTTTATTAAGAAACCTTAATTAGCTAATTAATTACTCTTAAAGACTACAAAAGT